AGTTTATGGAATGTGTTGCTAGCCGGAGACGCGAACCGAGCAAACTGTCATTCGTCGAACCTAATACAGCGGTCTACATGCGCGACCGCTTATTGCTGGTAACATTTGGATATACTTCAATCAGTTTACAGGCATCGTTGTTTCACCGTATCACTATCACGATAGTCTTTAGTTTCAGTGCACAGTAACGCCGTCGTTTTTATGAGGGCGACGCAACAGTCAACCTAACAAAGCTGTGTACACTGTCTATGCCATCTGTCTTACTGACTCATCTTCGCGAACCAAATCGTTTTTTTCTACAGGACCGGCTTTTGCGATACACGACCCTTTATCCCTCTGCAATTACGTACTAGCTGCTAGTTGGTAACTCTGTCAGCTGTGATATTTGCTACAGCCTACGAATAAGCATGGAGTCATAAAAAATCATGGGACTCAAACTAAGGTACAGATGTCATTAAAAAACAACACGAAGGAGTCCGTGCTTCTGTCAGAGGGCGAGGTACTACCCGATTACCCAAGCCGATGTAGGATGTTGACTTAGGGAACACCACCCCGAGCTTTTGGCCGAATGGCCTGCCTACAAGCCAGCGGAACGAATTCAGGGAATCCTACCCATTGGGAGCCGGTAACTAAGTGTCCAGTACATACTCCTTTCGTTTGCCAAAAAGGGGCCCAATGCTCCCCACTGTAGTTTGCATTACTTCGATATTTCCTCATCAGACCGGTTTCGGTAATGTGTAATGGGAAAGGCGTATGTTTCCGCGGAGACTTTCGAACCTCTGAATGTCATAATCCTGCCCACGGGTACATGTACCGTGGATTGTTTGTGAAGGCAGACGTTAAGGGGAAAAGACGGCGACCTTGACCAACGTCGTGTGGTGCTTTGGTCGACAATTTTCTCTCGCACAAGGTACTGCTTTTCGGCAGGTGATCATGGGAAGCTCTGTATGCAGTCTGAGTCAGCAGTATAAACTAACATACTCTACTCTTCCATATTGTTTGCTCGGACTCTGACCAAACAGGTTCCTCCTGTATCTCCTGAGTAGGAGGAGCTCTGAGGGCAATGGGTTGTCTGAACTACTTTCAAAAGTGCTTCTCCCGACGGCGCTTCTTATGTTGAACCAGGACGCTCGCGTTGCCTCTGATTGTCTCATTAACGCTTGATTTTCTGGGACAAATGGTGCGGTTCAATTGGAAGGGCGTACTATAATGGCCTACTGCCATACCAATCCATCAAGTTTTTTTATCATTTCGCACGCTCCGCTTTTGCTCGATTCCGCTTGGGTTGTGCTCAGAGCCACATGGAAGTTTTCTTCTGGATTTCAACAGTTTCACCGAAGTTTCGGATATCCAGCGTCTGGTGTGGTGACATTTGATACTGCTGCATGCAGAGGCTTCCGCGTCGTACACAGTGGACGAGTTTTTATTCCACTGAGCCTCAGTGTCCTCTAAGCTTGATGGGCCGAGCGATGGAGAGCATCTCAAGCGCTTGACACACCTCCCGGTGATATTCATGGAAAAACAGCGTACCAAAGCATGATCAGAATCAACGTAGGTATTCCATATCGATTAGCAATCCAAGCATCTGCGACATCTTTGGCGATAGAAAGGGATTTCCCTCCATCTAAAAGACCGTTTTTCCAAGGCCACAGTGAGAGCCACCATGCTCAATGGGAGTGAAACTTGGCCCTCTCGGTCTGAGGATCTGAGGCGCCTCCAAGTCTTTGATCATCACTGTTTGCCGAGCATTGCTGTTGTGGGGTGGCACTAGCGTGTCCGCAACGATGATGTGCGTAGGCGAGTGCTAGGCAGTGATACTCGAGGTAGTTCCTTAGAACAACAGTTAGCACAGGAAGTTGCGTTGGCTTTGGCACATACTAAGTATGCGCAGTCACCACTTACCAAGGAGGGCCTTGTTTTGTCTGCCAGATGTTCGGTGGCGCAAGGCAGCGGGAAATGAGGTAAATGACGACCACACTCAGTGCCGTTGTTCCGTCTCGTCTTCCAGGCTGGACTCCACGTGTTTCGCTTGAGGCTTTACAGGACATGGCTCGCAGTCGGCACCAGTGGCGCGCCTTCTGCCGTCTCCCAGTTCGACTGCATGTTTAAAGTGGTTTTATTGCTGATTAATCTACGGGGTAATGACTGATTATGATGCGGAGCACTGAAAGTCACAAGAAAGCTGTCTCACCGATGCCGCCTTTGCACGAAAGCCAGCTGTTTGTGACGGTATGTTGTCCACACAAGGTGTAGGCGCCTTGACCTTGAATGTTTGCTTAGGGTATTAAGGTTTTCCGGTAAGTTCCCCTACTCTCTCTTATTATTCTTCGTTCCGTAGGTCGTTATGGTTGTGCGACAGAGAAACATCGGTTCAAATGGCTGGCACACTGCTGTTGATGATGATGATGGCAATCCAAGGTGGAACCACGGCACTTATAACTGATTGCTACGTGATTTATTCCGGTCCATCACTGGCGAGCTATAGGGGGACGCCAAGTGGCACTCCGACGCCCACTGTGTCCAAAAGTGGTGCTACTAAGAAACAGCCGGTGCTCCGCGCACAGTTACAACCGACGCTAGCTGCTATCTATCCATTCGGAGTTAAGTCCATACTTATCACCTAGTTGAGCTTCTGAGCAACTCAGACTATCTTGTCGCTTACTCATGTCCCATGCAACAACCTTGCTATGTGGGCCGATAACATTGCATGGTAGCGTATTTAGTTCATGATAGTGGGTGTTCTTGGTAGCACCAGAACTTTAATCAGTGGGGACATAAGCGGTGACCACAAACAAACAAAGTGTGGTGCTACTTCGTGGATCAAACTTAGTTAATGTCATCAAGCAGGGTGCACGCAAGCGACTTTTCACTGGAGTCTAATCAACCAGCGATGCCTAAGCCTTAGAGCTGAGAACGATTCCCACTCCAATCTGACCAGTAGTTGCCGCGTCAACGTCACCGAATGCGTGCAGCCAATAGTGAGAGGACAAGCTGGGCACACTTAGCTCAACAACTCCGTGAGTGTCATCATCATCATCAACAACAGCCTTACGTCAGCCATTTGAACTTATACGCCACTGCCGTACAACCACGGTGACCTACGCAACGAAGAACAATAAGAAGGGGAGAAGGGGGGCCTAGCGTAACATATTCATGCCCTACATAAACACTCTGGGTCAAGGCGCCTACACCTTGTGTAGACAACATACCGTCAGAAACTCATGACTATCATGCAAAGATAAGGCGGCATCGGAGAGACAGCTTTCTCGCGGCTTTCACTGCCCCGTGTCATTATCAACCATAATCCCCTAGATTACTCAGCACTAAACACACTACAAACAGACATTCCGACTAGGCGACGGCAGCAGACGCGCCACTTGTGTCGATTGCGAGCCACGCCCTGTAACGTCACAAGGTGAGTCTCGTGGACTCCAGCCTGGAAGGCGAGACTGACCTGCGGCACCGAGTTTAGTCCTCAGTAGCTTTAATTCCCGCTGCCAAGTCAATTTTTGTCTACCTCAGGTCTTGCACCACCTGAGATCTGGCAATCAAAACAAGGCCTTTCTCGGTGAGCGGTTATGGGGTATACCTAGTAGGTACCCTAGTGAACGCAACTTATACAGTGCTATCTATTGTTCTAAAGAACTGTAATGATTATCACTGGCTACCACTTGCTAATGCGCATCATCTTTGCGGACACGCTGGTTCCAACACTGCTTCTCAGACAGCGATGCTCAACGATTTGGAGATACCTCAGAGGCAATGTTTTACTCCAGTGAGTTAGCACGGCCTTGTGACCTTGTTATCCCGGCCTTTTAGATGGAGGGAAACCCCTTTCTGACACCACAGATCCAAAAAGGCAGTTATAGCTTTTGCAATGTGTGATTTGACTTCAATCGTTACGCCGATGCAGTTGCCAAGTTGGGGGAAGTGATCAACTACCTCAAAGGGTTATGGAGTGGCTGGGTGTCCTGTAACAACACTTTAAAGGTTAGAAGCGCATACCAGATGATATCCCCGTTTTTGAGAACTTATCCAGGGTTGATTTGATCGCCCCAACATAGTTGAAAAGCAAGACAAGTCCCCGTGAGGGTCGTTGATCTTCGTTTTGGCAACGCATCACGCGTAAGTACCAAGGGTTTCCAACGAAATGCCAGTGCTGCCTGTTAACCTCTTTGTCTTAGAGTGCGAACGTTGAGCGCTGCCAAGGAAACGGTACTGGGTCACCTTATAATAGGCTGCTGCCTGTAGGCGTCCAGTGGGTGGTGCGGAAAGATGGCTGCAGATGGTAGAACTGCAGTGGCATTGCGGCTACCGTCAATTAGGCTGGGATTTACAGAAGCAAGATTAGTAATGGAGCTTCGAATGAAAGTAGGAAAAACAGGTTGAGAAGAAAGAAGTGAGGTACAAGTAGTAGCATGTTTTCGCTTATCCGCCCTGTTGTGTGCAGTAGATACGGCGACCCTTGATGAGCTGCACAACGGCATGTGCAGAATGTGGCCGAAATTTAAGGAAGTGGTCATGCTTGTACGTGGGATGAGATACTGCCTGGACGCACAGACCTATGCAGGAGGACGATATGAGTCTTCCACCAAAACCTTTGGTTAAGGCGCCTGTCAACAAGACAGCGGGGAGGTGGCAACGATTCGGTTTCACATATACCCTACCTAATAGACCAGGAGACTGCTTTTTTCTGACATCTAACTATTAACTAACCTGGTAGGAGTAACTCATAAGGGGCCCGCGGCACCACTCAGTGTAGCTCAACTAATTAAAAAGTGCGCAAACCGTCGCACCACGTTAAAGTCCAGTCTCGTTGCAGCGGAATGGTTTCTCATCTAATGGCCTATGCCTTCGCATCCCCGGGAAGAATCTGTTTATAATGGTTTGTTGTTAGTCAATCATCATTTACTCTGCTGCTTTATCTAATCCACAACAGTCTCTCCGCAGCCATTAGTGTGAAGCTTTTTCTTATTAACCAAATCCCTGTTCATTTTTAGGCGAGTAAACCGGCTTTTCGTAACTATGCGCTTCAAGTTCTGAAGAATGCTCGTGTATTTGGGGAAGCACTATGTTCTCATGGACTTCGGCTGGTCTCCGGTGGTACGGATGTTCACTTTGTGCTTGTCGATCTGGCCCGGTCTTCCGGAAAGTCTGGTCTGGGTCGCGGTGACGGCGCACGAGTCCAGTTGGTTGCGGATTTGGTTGGAATCACGCTTAACAAAAACACTGTTCCTGGTGACAAAAGCGCTCAACAACCGTCCGGCCTCCGATTAGGTAGGTTTGCTATGCCAAAGTGATAGGGACCGTACTGGCGTCGTTCTTGATCCTCAGATGGTTCCGCATTCAATCTCAATCGACCAGTTCTCATTTATCTACGTCGTCTGCGTTTGTCAGCTATACTTATGGCCTTGTGTACTACGTACCCACTTTGTTTCATCTCTAGTTCAAATAACGATGCATACTTCCTGTAAAGTCCAAAAGGAACTTTGATGTATCCCCAACCTGGATTGCTTAAATGAGGACACGGTATCTCTATTCCCTAAGTGTCTTGCTCATTTATGCTGATTTACTGTGTCCTACAAGCGGTTAATATATCGTATATTTATTCCTTTCACTCGATCACGGACACATCCTTGGACGTTTCAAGGTCATTCATATTATTATGTTACTGTGACACTGCCCAAATACTCGCTCCGCCCCACGCTGTAAAGTTTCTGCCCACTTGCATTACGATTGCAAACCTATTCGTAAGTCATGTACTGTATTTAATATGCCTTATAGAACCACGGTTACAGGATAATTCGTTTTATTCTTCTGCCCAGACCGTGCGTTAAGTCTAGGTTTATTTGTTTGTAGTTTCTAGTTTAGTTTTCGTACGACGTACTTAGTTTATGCTTAGTATCGTTAGTACACTTCCTGCAATTCACCAAGTTCAGCCAGTTACTCTGGTTTTTAGTCAATGTGCACAAATGTCACTGTAGGGAAATCTAGATGCATTTCTCGGCTGTGCCAATCTGAGTTGCACTGACGTTAGTCGGTAGGAAATGTACCCTTCCTTCTCTCTTTCCGTGTTCTGTCCGACCTTCTTATTGTAAAGGATAAATTCCGCAAGCACACTGGACTTCCAGCATCACGCATGGACACAAGTAGAGTTACGAGAGCGCATATACCAAGGTTTTTACTTCATGGGCTGTTACAAGTTGATCTCCTGTAATAATCACGATTTTCTACCTCTTTTGCCCTATTGCTTGGAGTAAATTTGATGTCTAACTTCTGCATCAACACTTTTTGCTGTGCCCAGGATCGCCTGCTCTGACTTCAAGAGGCCTCACCGAAGCCGATTTCGTGCAAGTGGCCAAGTTCATCGACGAGTTACTTGATATTATGCTGATGGCGAAGGCTCGTTCACGTAAGTATTTTGCATTCCCTTGTTTCATCCTCGATCTATCACCTCCTGTACCGACCTTTTAGTTATGCATCCACGTCTTCCGAGCGGGCAGACTTGTGGTCAGTCTCCTGAGTTCTGATTTCGCGATATATATGATTGGCGGCATCCGGTTTCGGATTCGCCTGTCACTGTGGCCAGCCACAGGACGCCTGCGCCTACAGAGCGACCATGGATGGGTTGCGCTGCACCACCCACAGCTCCATCCACACACCCCATATCCAGTGTAAACCCGAAGGAATAAGATCGGGAGGCATGCAAATGGGAGTCACGTTTCATCAACGGAGCCGGCCCACTCTTTCACAGGCAAACACAAGCACGCTGTATTTGGGAATCAAGCGCGCACACAAGGCAGTGGCTGGACCGTAGTCCGCTCCACACTGAGTGCATAGAACCGCTCTTCGAGTCTAGCAAGGTCACAAGGACCGTGCACCCCGTCCCCTCCAGCAACGACCATTTGTCTTCTAGAGCTATTGTGGTCGAGATAGTGGGTAATAGACAGGTAGGCACCTTGTCAACATGCACATCATGCGCACCCGCACCGCGGATGTCAAGCTACCACCCATCACTTGAAATAGCACTATGAAATAAAGTATATCGAGTAAAGTAATGATGTTTGCCGACATAACTCTTCATCTAATGATAATATGCTGTAAATTGGTTATCTGCTGATCCGCGATAAACGCATTATGTCCGAAAATTATTTTAAAAAGTGCCACGCGATAAGGTTGCACAAGTTTACCACAATTACAATAGCGACGTGTGCAATTTAGTAGAAGATTACCATTTACGCAGGAAAAACAAGATAAAGTGGAATGAATTTTATCTACCTTATAATGCCCTGCTTTATGTCTAAGTTGTTTTAGTCCAATTGCGGTTACGAAGTCTTATGAATGCAACATCAGCCTCAGCATGGGTCCTGTTTCCCACCCCACATGGTTACCTGCATACATACATTAAAGTTTAGCTGAAGCTGAGAAACACACTTCAGTCAATATGTCGCTATATTGAACGATAAGATATAGGCAAGTATCGTGATACCAAACATCATAGAATGCGATCTAAAAATATGTTTCCCATTGTGTTACTGGGGCATAGTACAGGGACATGTTAATGATTCGGTTTTCTGGAATTGAAAGCCATCTCATTTCCACTCCTCAATCTGGAGGAACAGTAGACTAGGTTGCTTTGGTCTCTAGCCATCGCAAAACCTAGTAGCAGCAGCTCTCAAGGGATCCGGGGGCGCTAACCATTATGGCTCCATAGGTCGAAGTGGTACGCAATCTGTCGCACCACGATATGGACCAGTCACCTTTCGGCGGGCATCAAGCAGTTCCCTCACAAACTCGACCTGAGTACCAGCATAGAAAGACTCAAGGAAAACATGCAAAGGTTGTATTCATCATAAAATTCTTGAGCGAACTGGACAGCCCATGTGAACTTCACTATTCGTCAGAAACACTTTGGACAGTCGACGTAGCATGTGTTAATTGCGCAGAAGTTGAAGAGGAAAATAGCAAGTAATTCATGAGAACACACCCAGAAACGCATATCAAACCAAATCAATCGACTGGTCCTAGAGCGAACTTGAAATACCCGAACGCAGCTATTGTCGGCGTTTTGACCCAAGCCACCTGAGTACGAAGCAAGTAGGAGGATTGAGTAGAACAGTTTCTGGAACGATTCATTCCAGTGAAAAAGCGGCATTCTTGATTGTGAATCGGAGTACCGGTGCTTCTCCTGTACGAACTAGTTCTCGAGACGGGCATTGCAGATATGTCGGAGAAATCTGTGGTTGTTACTCGACGCTGTTGTCTCTGAGAGTACCAAAATTCTCGGTCGACTCAAAAGTATTATCTTGATCAAGGCCTGAGTAAACATGTGACATATTGTGACTGAAACCAACGAAAAACATTTTGCGGACGTTGAAGAGTGAAACAGGCTACCAGACATATGATGGTGTGGCGATCGCCGGTATTACAAGTGAAAGTTCTCTAGTTGTACACGGTGTTGCGTGTCTAAGTCTTCCAGCCGCGTCAAGAGAAAGAACACACCAGC